TGAGTTAATACTAGCTGTATGCGTCTCTGTGCTTCCTGTATGATAGTATTATTGTGAGTTAATACTAGCTGCACATGTCTCTGTGTTGGACGTTGCATTTTAGCCACGTGCTGTAAATTGCAAGTGACGTCTTGTTGACTGAGGGTGCCCTTGTCTTAACATGTCTGAGGTGGTGGGTTTGAAAGAGTCGCAAGGGCACTGATAAGTGCGAGCGTTTTATCGAACACAACCGGGTGATCAAACGCAGTCGGAACAAGCGATAAGTTACAATGTATGCACAAAGTTATACGTCATCAATTACAAACGGCATGCAACATATATACCAGCACTGGCGTGGCCGACACAGATCCGCATAAGCCATATATGTGCGATGCCGTACGTATGTTGCCCGCACACAGATGAACAACCAAGTACTATGTCTATTGAATATGCGCGTGGTAGGTGCTTTGCTCACAATCGGCGTCTTCTGCTTCCCATCAGGTGCTATCTTCTTCCTTGTCATGCCGTCCACGTCGGATCAGTATAGCTCACGTGTGCGTCCCAGAGCTTACGAATGGACTCGGCGTGTGGTTCCCATTTTTACTGAGTTTGGTATCAAGGTACGTTTGTGACTGTTTTGTGTTCTTGTATATATAGGGATACCCAAGCCCTGCTATCTGTAAGCGCTCGAACGCATGTTATTGTTATGACCGGTCCTGTCCCGTTGGACTGGGGTGCACCCCGGTGTGGACCGCCATGCCATGTGCTGACTGACCTCTTTCCGCGCCTTTGCCCTATAATCCAGCCTTTGGACACCTGGCACCCGACGGATGCTCGGTTACTAGACGCCGCGCCTACACAGAGCGATGGGACCCACTGGGGCAGAAGGCAAACAAAAGGCCATAGCAGTGAGGTAGGGATGTCATTCGTTGTGAATCTGATACAGCAGCTGTGTCCTGAGGGACGCGCACCGCCGGAGGTCTCAGCGGCGACAGGTGACTTGTGACATGTGACATGTGACAATCTTTGTACGTATCGAACACGCGAGGATGAAAGCTTATAGCGTTAACTCTGTAAATATACTATATGAATGTATAAGCGGCATCTATATTCGCAGGCTCAGGTATCCGAGCAGCTTGGAGTGTAGCTGCTGGTCAGCTACATACAAACTAGAGTCCTGGCACAAAGCTAATACATGGCATTTGGAGACCTGTGAAAGACACGGACGCGAGGGCCATGTCATCTCTAACATTTGTCGTGTAGAGTGCACAGCTGTCAATATATAACCATTGATTGCAAGAGCGTATAGCTTGTACGTGACAACATCCCAAATCATACGTAGTGCATGATCGGTTGATCCGATTTGACTGCTTCTTCTGGGAACAGGAAGGATAGTAGTACACTGAATAATATACCCGAGCAAACTTCGACTTGGCAGCCCCACTTGCGCTGCATGTCTCCTGTGAAACTGCACCCGGCTGTTCACCATATGCAAGGACTGCCTGGGGTATGACAGTACAGCGTCAACCACATCAACTATGTTGGCATCAGAAGGTGATATGAATAGCTCATGCACGTGTTTCAATTTAGCAGGCTTTGTGCACCTGTATTGAAAAATAAACGTCTTCAGTACGATCACTAAAACTACAGATGAGGATTCTCCAGAAATTCGGTCACACACACTTTTTTGACGGTAGTACCTCGAAACTACAGTTCCAAAGCCAAAACTAGACCAGAACCCGGATAAACACGGAACGAAAAATGTTAGACCTAATTCTTGACTGGTTTTAGGTTCTTCCCATCTCATTGGGTATTTCCGAGCCACAATTCTGCGAGCCGAGCCCTTGTTTCGCCGGGTACCCTAATGCTACCGTTGTACTTCGGAGTCGACACCTGTCCTAACTCCATTATTATCAGGACCGTTTAATCCCGTTTTCAGATCACATTAGAAATTGGGGCAGGCTGTAATTGCAGTCAACGCTGCCCACCTCCATAGCAGCGATACTTGGGCGGGGCAAAGCTTGCAGGACCAACTAGGTACACCAACTAGGTACATTCGAGTCTACGTAGAGTGAAGGTCTCATAGGTACAGCTTCGAGTCCACGTAGGGAGAAGGTCTCATTACAAGTGATGTGCATATGTCCTCAATGCTAAGTTGTCGACAGTCATTTGTGGTCGTACGACGAAACATAATGGTTTAATTGCGAGGTAGTTGATAGCGACTTCCGACTTAAGAGTAACGGCCATTGTTCGTTGAGCCTGATCTAGTGTATGTTAATTATTTCTCATATTTTGATTTGTCTGTTTTAGTTATTATTAAATCGACTATGAAATTATCGACATTATATAGTACTCGAGAACATACTTTCTCGCTCCCCAGTTTCTTGTAAATGTCACTATGTAAAAGTAAGAGTATTGACATATTTACTGTAAAGCAAGAGTGTGTCAACGGCTGTATATTTAACTTCTCTCTTGTAAAACTCTTCTCTACTTCCATCCTCTGGATCTGGATCATAGCTTCTGCGGTAAACATTACTATGTTCGCGAGACTGGTCACTGGATATGTATAAAAACCCCATCCAGTGGCCTACTACTGGATATATATATAAAATCCATCCAGTGACCTACTACTGGATATGTATATATACCCCATCCAGTGGCCTACTACTGGATATGTATATATACCCCATCCAGTGGCCTACTACTGGATATGTATATATACCCCATCCAGTGGCCTACTACTGGATATGTATATATACCCCATCCAGTGGCCTACTACTGGATATGTATATATACCCCATCCAGAGGCCCAGGGGGCCTTATAGCTACTTCCTTATCGCTGTTTTGAGTGTTATCTGAGTATTCCTGTGTGAATCTCAAACCAACCCTAAGTCACAAAACCCTAAATCTCAAACCCGTGTCGTGAGTGTACGTTGTTGTTTTCATGTTGTTGGGATTCTTGGCCTCTCTTTTTTATGCGCTGGCAGATGCTGGTGGAAATAAAGTATACAGCGCCCCAGGACCTCGAAACACAAATACGAGTGTCGTGCACGACGGGCTCCGAGGTTGTTTAAAAACGAAACACACGCCGCTGGTACTGTGGACTGTGCCGTTTAGGTATAGTATATTACAGCTAATTAACCTCAGAGTGAATCCATTCTTTCTACCCGTTGCGATCGTAAGTATATATCAATAAAGGCTCATGCATGAGAACGCTATTGCGGAAGCTTCTGCTTTGAGCCCCAAGCCTCTAGCTAACTTCGTATGTTGCAATTTATGATTATGTGGTCTCTAGTTTTCTTCGCATGTCACTGTGTATGATTCTGTGCTCGCTCTCTCTCTCTCTCTCTCTCTTGTTCGCATGTAGCGGTGTATATTTGAGTGACGCTGTTAAGCATCACTTAATTGTTGTGAGCTATGTTCT